ACTATACTACGGACCTTGCGGCTTTAGATCCGCAACCTATCACAATAAACACTTCCCCTATAGTGGAGTGTATCCAGTCACATCACGGCCTTGCGGCTTTAGATCCGCAACCTATCACAATAAACACTTCCCCTATAGTGGAGTGTATCCAGTCACATCACGGCCTTGCGGCTTTAGATCCGCAACCCTATCACAATAAACACTTCCCCTATAGTGGAGTGTATCCAGTCGCATCACGGCCTTGCGGCTTTAGATCCGCAACCCATCACAATAAACACTTCCCCTATAGTAACGAAAGTTCTTCAAGTATTTTCAAAAAATTCGAAAATAACCATAATAAACAGAGAATATTATCTTCGTTAGTATAATTGTGGAAGATGGATTTGTAACAATTAAGTAGAGATTTACTCTCGAGGAAAAGTTTACATTAGTCATCATTTTCTTTCTTTATTTGATATTTTTTACGTGGTGGTGTTTTTTGTTTGGTTTTAAAGGATTTCTCAGGGGCACGTTCATGTGAATTAATTATATAAGCGTATGGTTACCGGAAGTGGTGGTATGTCTATAGCCACGCGACGACGTCTTAGTTCTTCCAGTCTGTCCATCACGTCTCTGTAGTGTGTTTTTAGCTCCTCCGAGTAGCGACGAGCAAGGCTATCCAAACACCCCCTTGTTCCGTCCTGTGAAGAAACGGAAAAAAAATCAATAAAGACTTTTAAACGATTATTTAAAAGATCAAGAAAATGTCTGAAAGACATAAACTAAAGCACTTTTATTTTCATATGAAAAGTGAAACTTAAAAAACATACACAACAACTATGCATTATAAATTAATATAATCTATGCAACGTGCAAAACATAATATTATCGTTATAAATACGTACTGTATAAATGTTAACTGTATAATTCACTTGAAACATAGTAGCATTTAAAGATCAAATATCTCAATATCTAATTAAGTTATGCTCTGAAGTTAAAAGTTATGCCAACCATAATACCTGATTTGTGTGAAAAGAAGAAAGATCAAAAAACTCAATTAATCACTATTGTTACACTAAATAAACTACGAGTGTTTTAAACAACACAGTAATAAAGGATTACACAGGTTGAGTACATTATATTACAACGATTTTGGAGCCTCACAACGCCATTACAGTCCATGTTGCCACAGTTGGTCATACTCTATCTGACGACCTTGCATCTTGAAAATAGTACTAAGGCGTAGTTTCCAATGCAAAAGGTGATTACGCTCATAGCACACTCCTCCTACTTGCACCTAAGAGGATGGCGGTTTTCCAGCGCCTGTTTTAACAGTTCGATCGCTCAGAGAATCACAGGCGCTGAACCTGACCCTCTTTGGTCCAAAACATGGACTGAATCCCGATGAAGAGGCCACAGGCGTTCCATGTTGCCACTTGTATGCCCTAATATGGAATTGTATGAATACTCGTTTCATTGTCCAACTGCTTGAGGTATGGTAATTTTGATGTAATTAGTGACATTAGTTTGATGTTATTCAAACTTACATTCTCAATGGTCCTTTAAAGTAAACGGACTTATCTACTCATTGCAACTAGACTAATTTTTTGAGCTATTGGAAGTTTCTCCCTGACACCACTGTTATCTCATTATCTGTACTTTCAAGCAATCGGTCACTTCGAATGCTACCAAATGGTGAAAACAGTCAACTCTCCTTAAAAATCAAAGAAAATAAATGTAATTAGAACTTCGAAAGTGTCACCAAAATTCCAAATACAAATGATATAGCCATAACAGCGCAGAGTGAGAAGGTAAGCACACAGGGAAAACATAAAGTATCCTATCCTAACACAAGAATTATTTCACAGTTGGCATTCCTTTTTCCTGTAACGACGTATTTAGCAGGGAGATTCTTCTGCGTGTGAAGAAGGGTGAAGATCTGTTTAAGGCCAACTATAAGTGAGTCAATGAGTCACGTTTCGATGGTCTTGCGATTGTCCATTTATTGACAATTTCACCTGTAAATATTTGTGTACGCTAAGAAGCACTTACAACGTCTAAACAAATTATCTGCTTTTTCAACACTTTCACGATTAAACTGTATTCTGCATGGGGGAGGACGCTTCAGTGGGTCGCCTTTCGGTAGGGAGTATCTGAGGGTTTAACCTCAGGTACATTTTTTAATTTTTTATGCTATTTCTTATCTGGTGCATTTTGAGAAATGACTTTCAGATGGAGGAGGGGGAAGGCTGCTACATAATGCAGTTTTATAGTTCACTCTACATCTTTAGTGTATTTTCTACCTGTCCCACAAATATGTTTATGATGTAAAAACTATAACTAAAATTCATATTTATGAAACAAAAAATGTGATTATATAGCAACATAATGAAACAGTGATAATAAAGAACTAATAATAAATTTAATGATTAATAATTATTCACTCTGTTTATTATCATCCAATAAGAAAATACCTCTAAAACGTACCTGCAGTCTATCAAACTAAGTCATTCTGCCATAAATAAGCCTCAAACTATTAATATAGTCAATCGGAATCACGAAAACTCTCACTAGCAAAGACTTTGGGTTTCGATTTTGTATCAACAGGAGAAAAGATACCATGTGTGAAGACGTAAGGCGAATGATACCTAGAAAACTTGACGTGTTTGCATGAATTCACTTGCACGATATATGTGACAAACAATAAACGTTTAAAGTATTATACTGAATATTCAAATATAATTTTTAAAAAAAGTTTGCCTATCAACATCCAGGCCTTGCGGGTAATGATTTTTGGGAGACAAAAGATAGATCTGATGTGAAAAAAAAATCTACAGTTAAGGTGATTTGGGGCACAAATTTGGGTCACAATGTTGAAGAATAGTCGCACCTTGAGCCTTCTAGACTAACAATGTCTCGAAAATCAGTTTCTCACCTTCAGCCTTCTCGACTAACAATGTCTAATGAAAGTTTCTCACCTTCAGCCTTCTCGACTAACAATGTCTCGAAAATCAGTTTCTCACCTTCAGCCTTCTCGACTAACAATGTCTAATGAAAGTTTCTCACCTTCAGCCTTCTCGACTAACAATGTCTAATGAAAGTTTCTTACCTTCAGCCTTCTCGACTAACAATGTCTAATGAAACAGTTTCTCTTCTTCAACCTTCTCGATAAACAATCTCTAGTGAAACAGTTTCTCACCTTGAACCTTCTCGACTAACAATGTCTAGTGAAACAGTTTATATTCTTTAGTCTTCTCCATTAACAATGTCTAGTGAAACAGTTTCTCACCTTGAACCTTCTCGACTAACAATGTCTAGTGAAACAGTTTATATTCTTTAGTCTTCTCCATTAACAATGTCTAGTGAAACAGTTTCTCACCTTGAACCTTCTTGACTAACAATACATAGTGAAACAGTTTATATTCTTTAGTCTTCTCCATTAACAATGTCTAGTGAAACAGTTTCTCACCTTGAACCTTCTCGACTAACAATGTCTAGTGAAACAGTTTCTCTTCTTCAACCTTCTCGATAAACAATCTCTAGTGAAACAGTTTCTCACCTTGAGCGTTCTCGACTAACAATGTCTTGTAAATCAGTTTCTCACCTTGAACCTTCTCGACTAACAATGTCTAGTGAAACAGTTTATATTCTTTAGTCTTCTCCATTAACAATGTCTAGTTAAATCAGTTTCTCACCTTGAACCTTCTCGACTAACAATGTCTAGTGAAACAGTTTATATTCTTTAGTCTTCTCCATTAACAATGTCTAGTGAAACAGTTTCTCACCTTGAGCCGTCTCGACTAACAATATCTAGTTAAATCAGTTTCTCACCTTGAACCTTCTCGACTAACAATGTCTAGTGAAACAGTTTCTATTCATGAGCCTTCTCAACCAACAATGTCTCGTGGAAACAGTTTCTCACCTTAAACTTTCTCGACTAACAATGTCTAGTGAAACAGTTTCTCACCTTCAGTCTTCTTGACCAACAATGTCTAATAAAACAGTTTTACCTTGAACTTTCTCGACTAACAATGTCTAGTGAAACAGTTTCTCACCTTGAGCCTTCCCGACCAACAATATCCAATGAAATAGTTTGACGACGCACCTCTTGACTAGCAAAATCTGATCAAATAGTTTTACCAAACTCTTTTTTTCGGCAAGTCATGTACTTGTTTTCAAATATTCGCGCAAAACTACTCAAAGTTTATCTGCGCTAAACGTTTCTAATTTTGAAACGATAGACCAGATATAATGTAGTTAGGGAATAGTATGCATCACCAAGTCTTGGGCTTCTCTTCTCTGACCGAATAGTGGGATCTGACAGTTACTTTTGTAAAGCGCACATGGAACAAAAGTATTCAGTGTAGTATCTTTTTTCTTAGTTGAACTAAACATTTTCATAACTAGCAATCTAACAAAAATGTTAGCAAAGACTTGCACGACTTTACGTAATGTAACACAAAAGCCTATAGTCTAGCTGAATAAATTATGTAAAATAAGAAAAGAAGAAACTCATAGTTTGAGGAGAAGAAGAAAACAAATTCCTGGTGATTTAAGGCTGGCTTCAGATTAGCAATAATAACACTCTATTATTTTATTTTAGGTAATTTATGCAGGTTAATTTTGGACTTCAAGAGTTTAATGCTCATCCTGACATTTGAAGAATCTGAAACTTGTGGTTTCTAGCATTCTTCCAGCGTGGATAGAGATGAGAGTAACATTTATTAACTGTTTTTTATATTTCATGATGTTTGTAATTAAAAGCCGATCAGTTTCTATATGAAGCTGTACTTTAATAGTTGTTTATATTTATTCCTGTAGAGAGTACAACATTTTGAAAAATAATTTGTGATTTTTGCTCTCTGCGAATTTTAAGAATCCTAATTGAACTATTGGGAGAACGAGGACAGACTATTGGTGACACTTGCCATGATGTGAACGTCTTTTCTAAGCTAGCGAAGCATGATTATAATTATTTATATGTACTTGTCATAAGACATTAGTATTAGGTCTATAATATTTTGACACTGCATTCTTTATGTAGGTATTTAAGGATTTTCAAGAATTAGAAGAGTGTACAATAATAGTATTTTAGTAATATGTTATATGACAGCTTTACTATGCATTTACTTGATCAGTAGTGTCCAGAGTTGGCGTTATAGGAGACGCAAAGCAGGCAGCCATCCGGAACAGAAGAATAGAGGGGCTGCAAAATTGAAATAATTATGTCTTGCCTAGTTGAACACGTCTGTTGCAGGAAATCAATTGGAAAGTGGGAACGGAGTGCTTAGTTTCCCTTGCTATAAAATAGAAATTTCACGCCTTCAAAGCTATTCAAAAATGTGCAATTAGAAATGTCTCAACATTTGTGGAAACAAGACCAGTGTGGTATATAAGCGAGGCACGAACTCAACAAACTAAAATTTTATTTAAAAAGCCCACAGAATAAAATATGTGATTTTATTGTGAGAGCCTTCATCTTATATATTTTAAACAATAATAGGGAAAAATAGTAAAAAAACCTGGATTCCAATCAGATAACATTATTTTTATTGTGGTTACAACACGTTAAATTCTCAACTGAAGGGCATGGCCTACGAAAGGCTAATTTGCTTCTTGTTACTGAACTCCCATGGCTTTTGGAAGAACGCAACTGGGTACTTTTTCAAGAAGATTTTTGGAGCAGTGGAAAGTTTTCAAG